ACTAGATTCAACCTACATCATTTATTGTATAAAATGTCTGCACACAATGTTTTCGGGGCTCTCTTCAGATAGCTCCCTAAGAGTTTGACGAACGAGTCCGTGCACGCGATTCCAGATATCTTTACCTCTGAATAAACTGCCTTTATTATACCATATCCACCCTGTCCAAAGTCTCTACTTGGTCTCAGTTCTCCAGTAAACTTGTGATTATCAACAGTACACAACGGTAACAAACAATTGGGGGAACTCACGGGGCAGATAGTAAGGTCGCAGTGACACAGAAAGCAGTTCAATGTCGGGGGTACAGAGTCGCTCTCTTACCAGGATCGCGGTCCGCTCTGACCAGGGTGAAGCCGGCCGGCTCCACTTCTCTGTCCGGGACTCTGTCATCCAGCCAAGTCTCCCAGCTGTATTGGATTCCGCTGCCAGCAGCGTTTTCATTATTTAGTCCGTTCGTAGCGGGTATGTACACGATCAACAAGATCAGTCCAAAACCCACCACTGGAAATCCATGGTTGGCAGAATGTTTGTAAACTAAGTCTACAAATTAAAAACATAAAATAACGCCACTAAGTGTACAAATTAAAAACATAAGATAACGCCACACTGCAGGTCGCAACAGAGACGCTGCTAGCCGCTATTTTCTTAGTTACGTTCATGGTTACGTCACGTATGACGAAAGCGCGTAAGTGCAAGCCCACAGACACCCATAGAGAATGTATTGAAAGCTTTGAAATTTGAAAAAAATAGATTTTACATGACAGGCTATGAGAGACTTCTGGGCGATTTTCAACCTGACTGAAATCGCCCCAAAAACGGGCGGGGCCATTTGAAGCACGACTTTAGCCTGATTTGACATTTAGTGGCAGTCAGATCAGATTACAACACTGATAACTACTGTTGCCGTGATATAATTGATTAGAAAAAAAATCCCTTCCTTTTCCCGTTTGGCAGTGCGTCGCCCATATCGCCCTATTGAACAGGCCGTCCCTGGTTATAACCCATAGAGAATGACAGATATAACATCATTGTATCGGTCGCATTATGGAGTCTGTGAGTGCACAGGCAATCTTTTGAAGTAGTTAATTTTCTTCTTCTACTTTTTCTATGAGTTGGCAAACAAACTGAAAGTGTGAATACTGCCACCTAGTGTTTGCTCACGAGGATAATTAATTGGCTGATAATAATATAATAATATGCCATTTAGCAGACGCTTTTATCCAAAGCGACTTACAGTCATGCGTGCATACATTTTTCTGATCCAATGATGATCTATTATACTGACAAGATATTCGAGTGACCGCTCTAACAATGGAAATTCATGTCCTCCAGATGGAAGGCAGGCGAGATCATGTGGGACCATTCTAGCCAATGAGAGGGCAGATAGGCGTGTGAAAAACAGGCACAACTACGTTGTTTTTCTCAAATTGCTGGAATGCTACGTGCATCCACTTATCAGTGCATTTGTAATAGCCTAAACATGACAAAACTTATATTAGATCAAATAAGCCTCACATAAGTCGACACTCTCTCATAGTCCTCCATACAAAAAAAAAGGGCTCATCTCACACAGACAGATTTTGGGGCGGAGTAAATTCTCTCACTTTGCCTCTTTCTCTCTCGCTGATTCCTCCTGATGACCCGGATGGAATCACGTGATCCTTCCTTAACCTATAGGAAGTACCACCCAGTTGACTATTATAAAAATGGTGGAAACCCTCAACGGCAATGTGCATGCCAAAGTGGGATTTATCCATCTAGAGTCCTCTTATCTAACTCTATGATATAACCAAAGAAGTCACTACCACTCATAACATCCATCCATGCCCTGCTGTGCATCCAAACACATTGATTGGCTAGAAATCAGCAGAGGTTTGAGACGGCACTGGAGGAGATGGCAGCCGTTTTACAGCCTGGCTCTGAGGAACGCATGTGAGCCCCTGCTGAGAGAGCGGGGAGTGGCAGTGCAGGTGTTGTATTATCAGATTCAGATAAAAAAATATTAGCAGATTTCTGTGATATTATATTTCTTCACAGCATCCCAGAGACTGGGGCTCTTCTGCCTGGAGGACGAGTGTGTGGAGTGTGTGCCGGAGCACATGGACCGCAGCTTCTGCTCTGTGGCGAAGTTTGCAAGTAAGAGGAGAGAAGAGCTCAGAGGGCCAAGGCAGGGTGCTGCAGTCCAGGAGACACAAGCCCGGGTACCACCCGGAAGCCAAGGCAGGGTGCTGCAGTCCAGGAGACACAAGCCCGGGTACCACCCAGAAGCCAAGGCAGGGTGCTGCAGTCCAGGTGACACAAGCCCGGGTACCACCCAGAAGCCAAGGCAGGGTGCAGCAGTCCAGGAGACACAAGCCCGGGTACCACCCAGCGGACAAGGCAGGAGGGACCAGCCGATACACCTGCCCTGAGCCCAAGTGACAGCGGTGGATGGCCGGCTTCATCCGGGGGGCGAGTGACTGGCGATACCCCCATTTCCAATTTAAAAAATAACCTGTTGTATCAGGTGTCGCACGAACAGGGGGGGGAACTTCGAGAGGTGCCGTTGCTGCCCCGCCGGTTACGTCAGGAACCGTTCTTCAGCTGCCCCACACCCATCTGTTGGGGGCGTACCTGGGAATGGAGAAGACCCGGGAACTGGGTTTCCCCCTTTTGAACCCCTCTACGGGAGGCTACTGGTCCTCCCCAAGGTGGTGTGGGAAGCCCAGCCGACCCCCGTTACGCAGCGTGGTGGAACACGTAGAGACGACGAGGGAGCGGATGACAACCATATGGCCAGTGGTAAGGGAACATATGGAGAAGGCCCAGCGCGCCCCAAGCCAAGGTCTACAATCGGGGGGGTACCAAGCCCCAAGAGTTCCATGTGGGTGACAAGGTGCTAGTGTTAATATTCACAGCAGAAAGTAATTTCCTGGCAACATGGCACGGGCCGTACGAGGTCAATTACCGCGTACGGCAGCCGGGGGGGCCGGAAGCCCCAACAGATTTACCACGTGAACCTATTGAAGAGGTGGCACGTGAAGGACAGCCTTGGCCGTGTTGTGGTCAAAACCCAGGACGTCGTCGGGACCAGTGGTGGTCCCGAGCAATGAGGACCTCGGACCAGCCCAGAAGCAAGCGCTCCGGGAGCTCATCGATCGGAAACACTGCCTTGTTTTCAGAAAAAAAACGGTTACGAAAGAGGCCATACCGGATCCCCGAGGCCCGAAGGAAGGCCGTGAAGCAGGAGGTGGAGGATGGGAGTCAGAGGAGTCCCACATGGTGCAGCCCCATCGTGTTGCCGCTCAGACCGGACGGTAGTCTACCGTTTCTGCAATGACTTCCTGGTGGTGAACGACATCAGTTTGTTGTCGACACCTACCCCACGCCGAGGGTGGACGAGCTCATCGAACGGTTGGGGAAAGGCCCGGTACAAACATCAGCACCCTGGACCTGACCAAGGGATATTCTCGCGGGAGAAGACGGCATTCTCGACACCGGACGGCTTATACCAATACCGGGTCCTCCCATTCGGTCTCCATGGAACCCCGCCCACGTTCCAGCGCCTGATGGACCGAGTCCTCCGACCCCACCAACAGTACGCAGCGGCCTATTTGGATGACATCATCATCCACAGCCCAAGGTTGGGAAGAGCACCTGACACGCCTCCAGGCGGTGCTGGACGTGCTCAGGCAGGCCGGGCTGACAGCCAATCCCAAGAAATGCAAGCTGGGGTTCGAGGAGTACCTGCGGTATTTGATCGGACGGGGGAACCTCAAGCCCCAGGAGAGGAAGGTCCAGGCGGTTCTGTGTAAATGTCATGATCCAAACCCCCCTGGTCTGCCACAATATTAAATGAATTCATGAATCACTGACCAGCTGGTTTCATTTCAGCATAATTTAACCCAGGAAAGCCATTTTTAAGCAACAGTATTATAGATGAGCTAAATATGCAGAGAGACTAGGTATATTTAAAAAGAGTTGATGTGTGAGATTCAATTATTTATTTGGTCCACCAAAAGGTTAGTAGGGTCCATTACGGCATAATATGCTCATACATTGTTAATGTATAGATGACAGCAACATATATGGAAAGTAACGTTACATCGTTGTCAGTCCACTGGTCATTTTAGCCTTCACTGGCATCCGTAGCCTATACTGTAGATGCATACAGTACATCACTGTACATAAACTAAACGCTTTACAAATTAACCCCCTTTCAAGATAGATTGAAGATTATGTCGCTAAAATGATTGTTCATCAACAGGAAAATTGAAAGAGTTAAGTGCATATTTCCTCAAAACAAGATAAAACCTATAGAAACAGTGAATAGTGACTTTTCAATACCAGTGTCCATATAATCACCTCTGTATTAATACAGCAGTCAGATCATCTATCGTTTACCCCAGAAATCAAACAGACGTTTCTAAACATTACAAAGAAAGCAAAGACAAACCAAAAACACATTTTATAGATCCTTCATCTCATTTCTATATTTTTTATATCTAATTACAATCATTGATTCTGGAGGGAATTGTGGAAACCAAAACAACAACATTCCTATCATTGATGCAGATATTATCAACATTATTTTATAAGTAAAATCCTCATACATTTTTTTCATAAGGCAGCAGTGACTTTCATTAGTAAACAGGACTGTAAACACTAACGAACGCATGGCTTTTCCTTAGTGCAAATGTGAGTTGGGCTGGCCGGTACTGTAGCAGTGAGTTGGGCTGGCCGGTACTGTAGCAGTGAGTTGGGCTGGCCGGTACTGTAGCAGTGTGTTGGGCTGGGGTACTGTAGCAGTGTGTTGGGCTGGGCAGTGGTGAAATCATTCTGGGTGGTGGAGACATACTGAGTAGCGATTACGTCAGGCTGGGTAATCATGAAATCATTCTGGGTAATCGTGACATTGTTTTGGGCAGTGGTGACATCATTCTGGCTAGTGATGACATCATTCTGGTGTAATCATGACTTCATGCTGGGCAGTGGTGGCATCATGCCGGCCAGTGATGACGTCAACGCTTGTCTCCCAGTCGGAGAAAGCGCTGTGATTTTTGCTTCACCATTCGATGCTGCCTCTGGGCCGACTGAGCCTGCTCTATGGCTTCCCCACAGTTTCTACAGAGGAGGAGGAGGAGGAGGAGGAGAGGCAGTTAGTTACTTTGGGTCGAACACAAGCACATACACACGTTTTTCTATACTTGTGAGGACCTTGCTATGGATACCGCACGCACTCGCGTATGTGCACACACACACACACAAGCGCACACGCGACACACACACACACACACCACCACAGTACACACACAGTACACACACACAGTACACACACACACAGTACACACACACACACACACACACACACACACACACACACACACAAAGGTGTATGATTGGGACCTGGGCAGTGGCAGGGTACTTGAGGTGCAGCACTCTCATTGGTTCCTGTCCATCTCTCTTTTGGATCTTCAGCTTGTTCAGTTCCTGCAGTCACACAAAGAGATTCAGGAAGGAACTTAAGGAAATAAGGAAGTAAGTAACTAAATAGGTAAGTGAGTTTAAACATTTAAATAGTTCTGACAGGACCGAAGGATGCCATTTTATTTTCTCAGGTAAAAATGTCTCAGTCATACCTTGCAGTAGATGTTCAGGTCCCCTCCCTCCACGTGTGGAGGCCTTGAGAAATGCTCAAACAGACACTCCCACTCTTTGTTGAAGTGTCCCACAAACTCTATCTCCTTCACACACATCACTCTCCTGTAGGAGAAGAAAAGATACCATGGGGCCTACGAGTTAGAACGTGATAAGGGCAAAATACATGACAACCCTCATATTAGAATAATTGTATTAAATTGACAGAAACGTTAAATTTTAAAAAATAAAGCAAAGGGGTGTTTAATGAAATATAGATACATTATATACAGTATATCTTTCTTCTCTCTATTCAGTACCAGTTTAAAGTTGGACACACCTATCTTCAAGGGTTTTCTTATTTGTCTATTTTCACATTGTCGAAAAATAGAAGAATCAAACTTGAAATAACACATATGGATCAGTGTAACCAGAAAAATGTTAACAAATCAAATATTTTATATTTGAGATTCTTCAAAGTAGCCCCTTTGGGCCCTTTATGACAGCTTTGCCCCACTCTCGGCTTCTCTCAACAGCTTCACCTGGAATGCTTTTCCACAGTCTTTGAAGGAGTTCCCACATATGCTGAGCCCCTTGTAGCTGCTTTTTCACTCTACGGTCCAACTCATCCCAATGGTTGAGTTGGGGATTTGGAGGCCAGGTCATCGAGCAGCACTCCTCACTCTCCTTCTGGTCAAATAGCCTTAACAGCTGGAGTTAGGGTTAAGTGCCTGCTCAAGGGCAACAAGCGACAGATTTTTCACCTAGTCGGCTCAGGGATTAGAACCAGCGACCTTTCGGTTACTGCACAACGCTCTTAACCACTAAGCTACCTGCCGCCCCGTGTTGGGCCATTGTCCTGTTGAAAAACAAATGATAGTCCCACTAAGCGCAAACCAGATGGGATGGCGTATCACATGGTAGCCATGCTGGTTAAGTGTGCCTTGAATTCAAAATAAATCACTGACAGTGTCACCAGCAAAGCACCCCCACACCATAACACCTCCTCCTCCATGCTTCACAGTGGGAACCACACATGCAGAGATCATCCGTTCACCTACTCTGCGTCTCACAAAGACACGGCGGTTGGAAACAAAAATCTCTAATTTGGACTCATCAGACCAAAAGTCAGATTTCCACCGGTCTAATGTCCATTGTTTTTCTTGGCCCAAGCAAGTCTCTTCTTCTTATTGGTGTCCTTTAGTAGTGGTTTCTTTGCAGCAATTCGACCATCAAGGCCTGATTCACAAAGTCTCCTCTGAACAGTTGATGTTGAGATGTGTCTGTTACTTGAACTCTGTGAAGCATTTATTTGGCCTGCAATTTCTGAGGCTGGTAACTCTAATGAACTTATCCTCTACAGCAGAGGTAACTCTGGGTCTTCCATTCCTGTGGCGGTCCACATGAGAGCCAGTTTCATCATAGAGCTTGATGGTTTTTGCGACTGCACTTGAAGAAACTTTCAAAGTTCTTGAAAGTTTCCGGATTGACTGACCTTCATGTCTTAAAGTAATGATGGACTGTCGTTTCTCTTTGCTTATTTGAGCTGTTCTTGCCATAATATGGACTTGGTCTTTTACCAAATAGGGCTATCTTCTTTATACCTGATTGGCTCAAATGCATTAAGAAGGAAAGAAATTCCACAAATTAACTTTTAACAAGGCACACATGTTAATTGAAATGCATTCCAGGTGACTACCTCATGAAGCTGGTTGAGAGAATGCCAAGAGTGTGCAAAGATGTCATCAAGGCAAACGGTGGCTACTTCGAAGATTCTCAAATATAAAATATATTTTGATTTGTTTTACACTTTTTTGGTTACTACATGATTCCATATGTGTTATTTCATAGTTTTGATGTCTTCACTATTATTCTACAATATAGAAAATAGTAAAAATAAAGAAAAACCCTGGAATGAGTAGGTGTCCAAACTTTTGACTGGTACTGTATATACACAGTGCATTCGGAAAGTATTCAGACCCCTTCCCTTTTTCCACATTTTTTTAATGTTACAGCCTTATTCCAAAATTGATTGAATTCATTTTTTCCCCTCATCAATCTACACACAATACAAAGCGGAAAACAGGTTTTTAGAAATTTTAGCAAATGTATTACAAATAAAAAGCAGATACCATATTTACATAAGTTTTCATAAGCATTTTTATTTAAATTAATCCATTTTAGAATAAGGCTGTAACGTAACAAAATGTGGAAAAAGTCAAGGGGTCTGAATACTTTCCGAAGGCACAATTTGTTACGGCCCTTTTCAGGTAAAGTGTATTTTCTCAAACCAATATCCCAATATAAAAAACGTCTACCCCGAGGCAGTAGTCATGTCGAACTCAAATCTTCCATACCGTACCTGTTGGTCACAATAATGTTGGTCTTCTTGTGTCCAGGGTACAAACAGTGTTCTCTGAAGATCTCTCCTTCCAGCTGCTTGATCTCTGACCTCTGATGGAGCAGTTTTCCCATGTGTGAAAACATACAATACAATGTCTTCATTTTTATTTCTAATTTAATAATAACATGATTATGTTGTAGCTAACTTCACTTTTTTAAGCAAACTTGACTGTAAACAAGTGGGAGTATATATGTTTATTACATGGTTGAAAGTGGCAACACACGAAATAGAACATACTGAAATGCATCGACCAACAGAAATATAGAATTACCTGTAACATGAACATACATTCATCTAGTTTAAGGCAGTCGGACTAACTAGGGAGTTATTGATGGTGGCTGTGGTGTATATAATGTTGGAACATAATTACAGAGGATATATCAAATACATATAATTTGGTCATGCTTCTTTTAACAATAACATGGTTTCTAAATCATTTAGGTTACAGTAACTCATATACAAACTAATGTAAGAGTATAGCATCAATATATAAACATTGGATAAGTATTATGAGTGCCTATACACAGATACAAAAGCAGTGATTTCCAATGTGATGCTATGAACCTTTTATTAAAAAAATATTGCTGGAGTACCGTTACTAGTCATAAAACAAATGACTACATTTCTTTAGTAAAATATCTTTTTTTAATATATATTTTTTTTTATAGGGTAGTTTATAAGGGCTAGATAAATCATCTGCATACATTATAGCAGGCTATATCGTTTCATTTCCTATTTCTGAAAATATGAAATAAAATGCAAAATATTTCATTCGGCAAAAGTCATACAAAACCTGGCTTGAAAACAAGACTCGGGTATTATATGGACACAGATTTCCTTTGGCATGCATAACAATTCAAGTCTTCAGCAAAAAGAAAACCGAATTAGAAATCATTACATCAGCATAGTATACACATTTACAAACCAGGCAAGGAGTTTGAACCTTGACACGGATATATAACTTGTTTCAACTATCAGACATTACAACTCATCATCACCGGCCTTTGATAGAACTAAGATAAATTGTCCATTAGTTACTAGCACTTGAACGACATCAGTTAGAGAAAACACAAGCCCGTAATCAACCTCAACCCCTTCTATTCCTCATCATGCTGCATGAAGGACAGAGAGAGAGAGAGAGAGTGAAAAAGACAGAAGGACGTTAGAAGTGGAAGAAAGACTGACGCTTCAGTGTGAAAGAGAGAAAGGCATGTTTTCATTTCTGAAAGACAAAAGATTCCACGTTCAGATTGACTGAGTCGTATATATATATATATACAGTGGGGAAAAAAAGTATTTAGTCAGCCACCAATTGTGCAAGTTCTCCCACTTAAAAAGATGAGAGAGGCCTGTCATTTTCATCATAGGTATACGTCAACTATGACAGACAAATTGAGGAAAAAAAATCCAGAAAATCACATTGTAGGATTGTTAATGAATTTATTTGCAAATTATGGTGGAAAATAAGTATTTGGTCACCTACAAACAAGCAAGATTTCTGGCTCTCACAGACCTGTAACTTCTTCTTTAAGAGGCTCCTCTGTCCTCCACTCGTTACCTGTATTAATGGCACCTGTTTGAACTTGTTATCAGTATAAAAGACACCTGTCCACAACCTCAAACAGTCACACTCCAAACTCCACTATGGCCAAGACCAAAGAGCTGTCAAAGGACACCAGAAACAAAATTGTAGACCTGCACCAGGCTGGGAAGACTGAATCTGCAATAGGTAAGCAGCTTGGTTTGAAGAAATCAACTGTGGGAGCAATTATTAGGAAATGGAAGACATACAAGACCACTGATAATCTCCCTCGATCTGGGGGCTCCACGCAAGATCTCACCCCGTGGGGTCAAAATGATCACAAGAACGGTGAGCAAAAATCCCAGAACCACACGGGGGGACCTAGTGAATGACCTGCAGAGAGCTGGGACCAAAGTAACAAAGCCTACCATCAGTAACACACTACGCCGCCAGGGACTCAAATCCTGCAGTGCCAGACGTGTCCCCCTGCTTAAGCCAGTACATGTCCAGGCCCGTCTGAAGTTTGCTAGAGTGCAGTTGGATGATCCAGAAGAGGATTGGGAGAATGTCATATGGTCAGATGAAACCAAAATAGAACTTTTTGGTAAAAACTCAACTCGTCGTGTTTGGAGGACAAAGAATACTGAGTTGCATCCAAAGAACACCATACCTACTGTGAAGCATGGGGGTGGAAACATCATGCTTTGGGGCTGTTTTTCTGCAAAGGGACCAGGACGACTGATCCGTGTAAAGGAAAGAATGAATGGGGCCATGCATCGTGAGATTTTGAGTGAAAACCTCCTTCCATCAGCAAGGGCATTGAAGATGAAACCTGGCTGGGGTCTTTCAGCATGACAATGATCCCAAACACAACCGCCCGGGCAACGAAGGAGTGGCTTCGTAAGAAGCATTTCAAGGTCCTGGAGTGGCCTAGCCAGTCTCCAGATCTCAACCCCATAGAAAATCTTTGGAGGGAGTTGAAAGTCCGTGTTGCCCAGCGACAGCCCCAAAACATCACTGCTCTAGAGGAGATCTGCATGGGAGGAATGGGCCAAAATACCAGCAAACAGTGTGTGAAAACCTTGTGAAGACTTACAGAAAACGTTTGACCTGTGTCATTGCCAACAAAGGGTATATAACAAAGTATTGAGAAACTTTTGTTATTGACCAAATACTTATTTTCCCACCATAATTTGCAAATAAATTCATTAAAAATCCTACAATGTGATTTTCTGGATTTTTCTTTCTCATTTTGTCTATCATAGTTGACGTGTACCTATGATGAAAATTACAAGCCTCTCTCATCTTTTTAAGTGGGAGAACTTGCACAATTGGTGGCTGACTAAATACTTTTTTCCCCCACTGTATATATATATATATATATATATATATATAAAATTTGGAATAGAAAGTTCAGAAATTGAAATAGGATAGCACTAGTTGTTATATAGCCCCTTTTCTCAAACCTGGACAATTCTACCTCCAGCCACGGGTGTCTGTGTGTTCATCTAAGGCGGGTTGCTAACCTGGAATAGGTCATAACCCTTGGCGTCCTCCTGGTCGTAAGGTCTGATGATTCCGTCCTCTCGGATCAGTCTGACCGGCCTCAGCTTGGTCACTTCCTCTGTCGACTCTGCCACCCTGCCAATCACAACGTCCCGTAAAGATCGCACAGCCAAATCAGAACGCACCGTCAGATCTCACAGCCAAATCAGAACGCACCGTCGTATCTCAAAGCCAATCACAACGCACCGTCAGAAGGGTTTCATTAATCAAGCAAGAACAAGACCTAGTTTGCTTTCGGACCCAAACTCATAATAAAACTGCAACGTAATGTCTTCCCAATGAGCCACCAGACACAGCAGCAGTGGGTTAACATGATCAATTATCAGAACTAGCAGAATCCTGCTTCTGAAAGAAATCGCAAACTTAAAAAAAAAAAAAGTTCAGCCCAAAGGGGAGGCGAACTGTGCATGAGTGTGTATGCGTGCACGTACGTACGCACGTACGTTTCAGTATCTCACCTTTCGTTACCTCTAGTGTGAAAGCATGGAACAACAATTTCATCAGGTTATCAGGAATTTTATGAGTGATCAATAATATGCTTTGTGAAGGATAATGAATGACATGTTGAATGGACGAAAATACTATGTGACGGGGGTGTGTTTTTGCATTTCAGAACCACTGGGGAATTAGGACTGTTTTGGCCCAACATTAGGTAACTGAGGTGAGGGGGAGGAAGGGGTTAATGAGAAAGCCAGAGGGGGAGGGGGGGGGGGGGTCAAAGTCACAGTAGAGACTGGACGGTTTACTTGGCTGCGTTAGACCAATCGTGGAGGTCCTCCACTCCGAGAGCTGTTGGCGGAGCTATTTCAGCCCCATATGAACATGTAAGCTAACCAGCCACATGCCAGCACATTTCCCCAAACGCAATTCCAGTCCACAATGCATTACATCAGTCTATTACCAACATGAAGCCCCCAGGTCAACACAGCAGGGATCCTGACAGTGGTGGATTTTATATCGTCAATATGTTTTGGTTTTTTTTGCAGCAAAAAAACTTTGCCAAACTGCCAATCTCTGCATGGCGGTGTCGTGCGCTCGTGCAGTCGGCCAATCCCGGAGGAGAGAACAGGTGGAGGAGGGGCTTGAGTGTGACTTCTATTAGCTATCTGACAAGGAAGAGTCTGTGTGTGTGTGTGTGTGTGTTTGTCTAACTGCAGTTAGAATCCAATGTGACGTCAAAGTTACTGAGATACAGAATGACCTGCTGAGAAGAGCTGCTCTAATCTTTAGCTTTACAGTACCAATAGTCTCCTCTGTCCCGGTCTGTTCTGTCCTCAGGGTTTAGTCTGTTGGACCCCACGATGCTGCAGTATGGAGCAGGAGGAGGACTCAGGTCAGTAGCAGCGTTAACGATGATGGGGGGGGGGGGGTTAAATGTTGAGCTGTTAACCAATCATTTCCTTTGGTTTGATCTGTAACAGCATGATACCTACTTCAACGCCATGCAGTCACTTACCTCTCTGACAGACAATCTGATTTATGAGAAAGACAACTAACCCTCCATGCCAGCCGAACCCCTCCCCAGTCCCAAACCCCTCCCCTATGACCCCTATTGCGTAGGTCACGTGAACAGGAAGTGTTCACTGTGGCCGCCCAGTCATTACCAAAGCTTTCCCACATCTCACCAAATACTCACTCAACACAAAGACAAAAACAACTTCTCCAAGGCATTAACTTATGAGAAAACAAATTGAAAACAGAACAGTTAACAAAATTAGTCAGATCACAATAATTATAATGAACAGAACATAAAGCACCAAACATGGTTATGAGTGACAGACAAATAATGTTACGCAATACCACATTAAACAAAACATTCCAAATAAAATCACAATAACCTCTGTAGTGTCCTGTCTCCACTAACCTCTGTAGTGTCCTTCCTGTCTCCACTAACCTCTGTAGTGTCCTGTCTCCACTAACCTCTGTAGTGGCCTTCCTGTCTCCACTAACCTCTGTAGTGTCCTGTCTCCACTAACCTCTGTAGTGTCCTGTCTCCACTAACCTCTTATGCCCTGTCTCCATACTTGTTGCCCCTTTTTTGCCCTTTTCTACCAACCTTTGTATTCCATGGAAGGTGCTGGAGGCCATGTCTACGATGCCCCCCCGTGGCCGGCCACCACCCCCCTAACCCTTCCCATGCCCTTTAAGAAAAAGCCGCTCCTCCTTCTTTTGGGCCCCCCGGGGGGGGGGGGGGGGGGGGGGGGGGGGGAATCCCCCAAAAAAAAAAACCCCTTGGGGGGGCGGGGGGGGGGGCCCCCCCCCCCCCCCCAAAAAAAAAAGGGGGCCCCCCCCCCCCCCCCCCCCCCCCTCCCCCTCTCTTCAAAGGGTTTTTTCCCCCTTCTTTTCTCCCCCCTTTCTCTTCGTCCTATTTTTTCCCCCCCCTTTTTTTTCTCTCCTTCCCCTCCTTTTCCCCCCCCCCAGGGGGGTTTGGTTTTTAAAAAGGTTAACCTCAAAACCAAATCCTGGAATACAGTAATGTCATATTCAACATACACTGAGTGTACAAAACATTAAGAACACTTTGCTAATATTGACTTACACAGTGTGTTGTGGTTACAGGTTCACTTGGCACATCTAAAGCCTTTTCTTCTGGGGTGTTGCTATAGGCCACCAAGTGCTAACAGTCAGTATCTAAATAATATGTGTGAAATGCTTGATAGTTTATGTGATGTAAACAGAGAGGTCTACTTTCTTGGAGACCTGAATATTGACTGGTTTTCATCTAGCTGTCCGGCTCAAGAGGAAGCTTCTCACTGTAACCAGTGCCTGTAATCTGGTTCAGGTTATTAATCAACCTACCAGGGTGTTTACAAACACTACAGGAACAAGATCATCCACATGTATTGATCACATTTTTACTAATACTGTAGAACTTTGTTCTGAAGCTGTATCCGTACCCATTGGATGCAGTGATCACAATATAGTGACTATATCCAGGAAAGCCAAAGTTCCAAATGCTGGGCCTAAAATAGTGTATAAGAGATCATACAAAGTATTTTGCTGTGACTCTTATGTGGATGTAAAACTTTATTTGTTGGTCTGATGTGATTAATAAGGAGCATCCAGACGCTGCACTTTATGAAATTATGAAATTGCTTCTTCCAATTATTGATAAACATGCCCCTGTTCTGAAACTGACTGTTAGAACTGTTAAGGCTCCGTGGATTGATGAGGAATTGAAAAACTGTCTGGTTGAAAGAGACGGGGCAAAAGGAGTGGCTAATATGTCTGGCTGCACATCTGACTGGTTGACTTACTGCAAAGTGAGAAATGATGTGACTAAACTCAACAAAAAGAAGAAGAAACTGTATTATGAAGCCAAGATCAATGATATAAAGAATGATGGAAAAAAAACGTTGGAGTACTTTAAATGAAATGATGGGCAGAAAGACTCCATCTTTCACCGAATCAGAAGGCTTATTCATCACAAAACCATTTGATGTTGCCAATTATTTGAATGATTACTTAATTGGCAAAGTGGGCAAACTTAGGCAGGAAATGCCAACAACGAACAGTGAGCCACCGTAATCATGCATAAAAAAATTATGACAAATCTTTGTAAAGTTTGTGTGGGAGAGGTGGAACATTATTGTTATTGATCAATAATGACAAAACCTCCTGGCATTGACAACTTAGATGGAAAGCTACTGAGGATGGTAGCTGACTCTATAGCCACTCCTATCGGTCATATCTTTAATCTGAGCCTAGAGGAAAGTCTTTGTCCTCAGGCCTGGAGGGAAGCCAAAGTCATTCCGCTACCCAAGCGTGGTAAAGCAGCCTTTTTATTGGTTCTAACAGCAGACCTATCAGCTTGCTGCCAGCTCTTAGCAAACTGTTGGAAAAAATTGTGTTTGACCAAATGCTACTTCTCTATAAACAAATTAACAACAGACTTTCAGCATGCTTATAGAGAAGGCCACTCAACATGTACTGCACTAACACAAACGACTGATGATTGGTTGAAAGAAATTGATAATAAGAAGATTGTGGGAGCTGTACTGTTAGATTTCAGTGCAGCCTTTGATATTATTGACCATAACCTGTTGTTGAGAAAACGTATGTGTTATGGCTTTTCAACCTCTGTCATATCGTGGATTCAGAGCTATCTATCTAATACAACTCAGAGTTTTTTTTTTTATGGAAGCTTCTCTAATCTCAAACATGTAAAGCGCAGCTCTCTAGGCCCTCTACTCGTTTCTATGTTTACCAATGACCTGCCACTGGCATTAAACAAAGCATGTGTGTCCATGTATGCTGATGACTCAACCATATACGCATCAGCAACCACAGCTAGTGAAGTCACTGAAATCCTTAACAAAGAGTTGGAGTCTGTTTTGGAATGGGTGGCCACTAATAAACTGGTCCTGAACATCTCTAAAACTAAGAGCATTGTATTTGGTACAAATCATTCCCTGAATTCTAGACCTCAGCTGAATCTGGTGCCTGTGGTCCTCTGTAGCTCAGCTGGTAGAGCACGGCGCTTGTAACGCCAAGGTTGTGGGTTCGATCCCCGGGACCACCCATACACAAAAATGTATGCACGCATGACTGTAAGTCGCTTTGGATAAAAGCGTCTGCTAAATGGCATATTATTTATTATTATTTATTATATCTGGTGATGAATGGTGTGGCTGTTGAACAAGTTGAAGAGAGTAAATTACTTGGCGTTACCTTAGATTGTAAACTGTCATGGTCAAAACATATAGATTCTATGGTTGTAAAGATGGGAAGAGGTATGTCCATAATAAATGATGCTCTGCTTTTTTGACACCCCACTCCAAAAAGCAAGTCCTGCAGGCTCTAGTTTTGTCTAATCTTGATTATTGTCCAATCGTGTGATCCAGTGCTGCAAAGAAAGACCTAGTTAAGCTGCAGCTGGCCCAGAACAGAGCGGCACGTCTTGCTCTTCATTGTAATCAGACGGCTAATATTAATACTATGCATGCCGGTCTCTCTTGGCTGAGAGTTGAGGAAAGACTGACCGTGTCACCTCTTGTTTTTATAAGAAACATTAATGTGTTGGAAATTCCTAATTGTTTGGATAGTCAACTTCCACACAGCACTGACACACACACTTACCCCACCTGACATGTCACCAGGGGTATTTTCACAGTCCCCAGGTCCAGAACAAATTCAAGGAAACGTACAGTATTACACAGAGCCATGAGTGCATGGAACTCCCTTCCATCTTATATAGCGTAAGTGAACTGCAAACCTGGTTTCAGAAAACAAATAAAGCAAGACCTTAGGCCACAACGCGTCTCCCCCATGTGACCTACTTGTTGTGTGTATGTACTGACATGTACAGTGAGGGAAAAAAGTATTTGATCCCCTGCTGATTTTGTACGTTTGCCCACTGACAAAGAAATGATCAGTCTATAATTTTAATGGTAGGCTTATTTGAACAGTGAGAGACAGAATAACAACAAAATCCAGAAAAACGCATGTCAAAAATGTTATAAATTGATTTGCATTTTAATGAGGGAAATAAGTATTTGACCCCCTCTCAATCAGAAAGATTTCTGGCTCCCAGGTGTCTTTTATACAGGTAACGAGCTGAGATTAGGGGCACACTCTTAAAGGGAGTGCTCCTAATCTCAGTTTGTTACCTGTATAAAAGACACCTGTCCAGAGAAGCAATCAATCAATCAGATTCCAAACTCTCCACCATGGCCAAGACCAAAGAGCTCTCCAAGGATGTCAGGGACAAGATTGTAGACCTACACAAGGCTGGAATGGGCTACAAGACCATCGCCAAGCAGCTTGGTGAGAAGGTGACAACAGTTGGTGTGATTATTCGCAAATGGAAGAAACACAAAGAACTGTCAATCTCCCTCGGCCTGGGGCTCCATGCAAGATCTCACTTCGTGGAGTTGCAATGATCATGAGAACGGTGAGGAATCAGCCCAGAACTACACGGGAGGATCTTGTCAATGATCTCAAGGCAGCTGGGACCATAGTCACCAAGAAAACAATTGGTAACACACTACGCCGTGAAGGACTGAAATCCTGCAGCGCCCGCAAGGTCCCCCTGCTCAAGAAAGCACATATACAGGGCCGTCTGAAGTTTGCCAATGAACATCTGAATGATTCAGAGGAGAACTGGGTGAAAGTGTTGTGGTCAGATGAGACCAAAATCGAGCTCTTTGGCATCAACTCAACTCGCCGTGTTTGGAGGAGGAGGAATGCTGCCTATGACCCCAAGAACACCATCCCCACCGTCAAACATGGAGGTGGAAACATTATGCTTTGGGGGGGGGGGGGGGGGGGGGGGGGGGGGGGGGTTTCTGCTAAGGGGACAGGACAACTTCACCGCATCAAAGGGACGATGGACGGAGCCATGTACCGTCAAATCTTGGGTGAGAACCTCCTTCCCTCAGCCAGGGTATTGAAAATGGGTCGTGGATGGGTATTCCAGCATGACAATGACCCATAACACACGGCCAAGGCAACAAAGGAGTGGCTCAAGAAGAAGCACATTAAGGTCCTGGAGTGGCCTAGCCAGTCTCCAGACCTTAATCCCATAGAAAATCTGTGGAGGGAGCTGAAGGTTCGAGTTGCCAAACGTCAGGCTCGAAACCTTAATGACTTGGAGAAGATCTGCAAAGAGGAGTGGGACAAAATCCCTCCTGAGATGTGTGCAAACCTGGTGGCCAACTACAAGAAACGTCTGACCTCTGTGATTGCCAACAAGGGTTTTGCCACCAAGTACTAAGTCATGTTTTGCAGAGGGGTCAAATACTTATTTCCCTCATTAAAATGCAAATCAATTTATACATTTTTTGACATGCATTTTTCTGGATTTTTGTTGTTGTTAGTCTGTCTCTCACTGTTCAAATAAACCTACCATTAAAATTATAGACTGATCATGTCTTTGTCAGTGGGCAAACGTACAAAATCAGCAGGGGATCAAATACTTTTTTCCCTCACTGATAGATGCACACACACACTACATGTTAATGTTTTTAGATGTATGTAAATTGTAAGTCTTTTGTCTGTGATTTATTTTTGGTTATGTGTCGGACCCCAGTAAGACTAGCTGTTGCCATTGGCGTTGGCTAATGGGGTTCCTAATGAATCAAATCACATCTACAAGGTGTGGAAAGCGTTCCACAGGGATGCTTGGCCCATGTTGACTCCAATGCTTCCCACAGTTATGTCAAGTTGGCTGGATGTCCTTTGGGTGGTGGACCATTCTTGATACACACAGGAAACTGTTGAGCGTCAAAAACCCAGCAGCGTTGGAGTTCTTGACCTACTACCATACCCCGTTTTAAAGGCGCTTAAATATTTTGTCTTGCCCGTTCACCCTCTGAATGGCACACGTACACAATCCATGTCTCAAGGCTTAAAAAATATTCTTTAACCTGTCTCCTCCCCTTCATCTACACTGATTTGAAGTGGATTTAACAGGTGACATCAATAAGGGATCATAGCTTTCACATGGATTCACCTGGTCAGTCTATGTCATGGAAAGAGCAGGTGTTCCTAATGTTTTGTACACTCAGTGTACATCCTATATATTCTACCAAATCCATGAAGGGATGTGAGATCTGATGGAGATCATCTTTGAAGGGTTGAGACAAACTTCTGTTTCCCACAAAGTGGACAATAAACTACAGATTTTATTCTAGCTATAAAATTGTTCTAGAATTACATTTATGGAATGTAAATGTAAATATCTATTGAACATTGATGAGAATCATGATTTCTTCCCCCCCCCATGTTTGTGAAAGTGAACGGAAGAAGAGTTCAGCCACAGGTCAGAGCGTTGTGAATAAACATACCTTCTACAGGTTTGGTCACGATGCCCGTTACCCCACCAACGACCCCCTACAGAAGAGAGAGAGAGATAGCGATAAGAATGAGAGATAAGAAAAAAAAAAAAAAGCGAAAGGACCGTCAGGTCTCCATGGTATCCAACACAAAGGTCTAATTCAAGACTAACAGGACAGAACAACCTCTTAACCAAAGAAAACCATCCCGTTTGGGAGGAAAATTACATTTCACATTATTGTCCTGAATGAAGAGGTTTCATCTGATGTTGTGTTCTGTCCTGAAAAGCTTATCATGACTCCGTCCCAAATGACACACTGTTCCCTACATAGAGACCACTACTTTAGGTTGCCATTTGGGACAGACCCTGGTTTTAGCCTCATCACGACTCTAAAGGGGAGACCAGGACAGAATAGACAACTGAAGATGATTCCTTTTAGGTCCTGTAATCAACGAGGGTGCGAAGACCATGAGCAGTTCCACTGTAATGTTTGTTGTAATGGTAGAATTACATGAGTAGTTACCCTGTAATGTTCTGGTCTGTAATGGTAGATTTACCTGAGGAGTTCCCCCTGTAATGTTCTGGTCTGTAATGGTAGAATTACATGAGTAGTTCCCCTGTTAATGTTCTGGTCGGAATGGTAGAATTACATGAGCAGTTCCCATGTAATGTTCGGTCTGTAATGGTTAGAATTTACATGAGTAGTTCCCCCTGTAAGGTTTGGTCTGTTAATGGTGAAATTACATGAGTAGTTCCCCTGTAATGTTCTGGTCTGTAATGGTAGAATTACATGAGTAGTTTCCCTGTAATGTTCTGGTCTGTAATGGTAGAATTACATGAGTAGTTCCCCCTGTAATGTTCTGGTCTGTAATGGTAGAATTACATGAGTAGTTCCCCTGTAATGTTCTGGTCTGTAATGGTAGAATTACATGAGTAGTTCCCCTGTAATGTTCTGGTCTGTAATGGTAGAATTACATGAGTAGTTTCCCCTGTAATGTTCTGGTCTGTAATGGTAGAATTACATGAGTAGTTTCCCCTGTAATGTTCTGTCTGTAATGGTAGAATTACATGAGTAGTTCCCCTGTAATGTTCTGGTCTGTAATGGTAAGAATTACATGAGTAGTTTCCCCCTGTAATGTTCTGGTCTGTAATGGTAGAATTACATGATGCAGTTTCCCCCTGTAATGTTCTGGTCTGTAATGGTAGAATTACATGAGTAGTTCCCCTGTAATGTTCTGGTCTGTAATGGTAGAATTACATGAGCAGTTCCCCTGTAATGTTCTGGTCTGTAATGGTAGAATTACATGAGTAGTTCCCCTGTAATGTTCTGGTCTGTAATGGTAGAATTACATGAGTAGTTCCCCCTGTAATGTTTCTGGTCTGTAATGGTAGAATTACATGACAGTTTCCCCCTGTAATGTTCTGGTCTGTAATGGTAGAATTACATGAGTCAGTTTCCCCTGTAATGTTCTGGTCTGTAATGGTAGAATTACATGAGTAGTTCCCCCTGTAATGTTCTGGTCTGTAATGGTAGAATTACATGAGTAGTTCCCCCTGTAATGTTCTGGTCTGTAATGGTAGAATTACATGATAGTTCCCCCTGTAATGTTCTGGTCTGTAATGGTAGAATTACATGAGTAGTTCCCCCTGTAATGTTCTGGTCTGTAATGGTAGAATTACATGAGTAGTTTCCCCCTGTAATGTTTCTGGTCTGTAATGGTAAGATTAACATGAGCAGTTTTCCCCTGTAAGTTCTTGTCTGTAATGGTAGATTACATGAGTAGTTCCCCCCTGTATGTTCTGGTCTGTAATGGTAGAAATTACATGAGCAGTTCCCCTGTAATGTTTCTGGTCTGGTAATGGTAGATTCATTATTAGTATCCCCCTGTAATGTCGGTCTGTAATGGTAGAATTAACCTGAGTAGATTCCCCCTGTAATGTGCTTGTCTGTAATGGTAGAATTACATACGCAGTTCCCCCTGTAATGTTCGGTCTGTAATGGTAGAATTTCCATGAGCAGTTTCCCCTGTAATTCTGGTCTGTAATGGTAAGAATTACTGAGTAGTTTTTTCCCCCTGTAATGTTCTTGTCTGTAATGGTCGAATTCCATGAGCAGTTCCCCTGTAATGTTCTGGGCTGTAATGGTCAGAATTACATGAGTAGTTCCCCCTGTAATGTTCTGGTCTGTAATGGTAGAATTACATGAGCAGTTCCCTGTAATGTTCTGGTCTGTAATGGTATAATTACATGAGTAGTTCCCCTGTAATGTTCTGGTCTGTAATGGTAGAATTACATGAGTAGTTCCCCTGTAATGTTCTGGTCTGTAATGGTAGAATTACATGAGTAGTTCCCCTGTAATGTTCTGGTCTGTAATGGTAGAATTACATGAGTAGTTCCCCTGTAATGTTCTGTCTGTAATGGTAGAATTACATGAGCAGTTCCCCTGTAATGTTCTGGTCTGTAATGGTAGAATTACATGAGTAGTTCCCCCTGTAATGTTCTGGTCTGTAATGGTAGAATTACATGAGTAGTTCCCCCTGTAATGTTCTGGTCTGTAATGGTAGAATTACATGAGTAGTTCCCCTGTAATGTTCTGGTCTGTAATGGTAGAATTACATGAGTAGTTCCCCTGTAATGTTCTGGTCTGTAATGGTAGAATTACATGAGCAGTTCCCCTGTAATGTTCTGGTCTGTAATGGTAAATCTACTGATTGAAAGTCCACTCCTGCTCATGATTCTACAGTAAAATGCACATCATGCAGTACAATTGCCTTTTGTCCTATAATGTCAAGGTCGCGCTTGTAGGCAACCACATGTCTGCGTCACAAATCGCACCCTAGTTCCTATATAGCCCTACGTGTCAAAAGTAGTGCACTACATAGGGAATAGGGTGCCATTTTGGGATGCAGGCCATGTCATGTATCGTTGTTGAATCATTTCGTGTAGTTTTAATATTCAACACGGGGCTTAGACGTCCGTGACCTCTGACTCGTCCGTGACCTCTGACTCGTCCGTGAAGGACAATATTGGGACATGTGCTTTCGACCCCACAGCTGACGGTGTGATTTCCACATGGGCTACATACACACAACATGTGTTCACTGCAGGGTTGTGGTCAAGTCCATTTTCAATTCAGTCAATTTAGGAAGTCAACTGAAATCCCAATTCCAATTTTCCTCATATACTTTCTATGAGGAAAATGTGAATTACTTTTACCTGAATTGAGTGAATTGAAATGGAAATCCCCCCCCAACCCTGGTTTCACTGTAAGTGTCTCTGGATAAAGTGTATCTTTATTAAATGATCATAGTACTACAGTGGTACCTTGAAGAATCCCATGCCTCCCTTGGCCAGACTCTCTCCAAAGTCTTTGGGAGGTCTGTTCATTTCCTCTCGTCTTTTTTGCTGGTACTCTTTATCCATGGTGATGGCAGCCAGTCCTTTACCCACTGACCCCGTGATACGAGACACCATGCCTGCAGCGCCACCTAGTGGGGAGGAGAGAGAAGACAGGTATACAGAAAGAAAAAAAAAACGTTAGACATGCACACATTGTATACACACACAAGCACGTGTACACAGGCGCACTCACTCATTCACTCATTCACTCATTCACACACAGCCTTACCGACAGTGTGACCCAGTAGACTGCGTACTCCGATCACGAAGCCCTCAGCGAACTCCTCAGGACCCTGAACCGCTCCCTATGGCGACAACAACAACAACCAAAATAATGTCAGCGCTGGAGTCACTTCAGCCGTACTGCTTCTGAACGGGGCCTCTACAGGGCCTGGCCCGTCCCGGACATCCAAAACGTCACCACGTGGTCCTATGAGAATAGCTGGAGGTTTTTGGTGTGTGTGTCACCTGGAAGGGCTCGTAGAAGAAGGCCTCCACTCCTTCAGACAGGCCTCTGATCAGGCCGAATGGGTTCCCCAAGACATCCAGACCCAGCACCAACACATACATCTGTTTCAGGAACTACAGAGGGAGAGAGAGAGAGAGCGAGAGAGAGGAAGCCAGTGGAGTGGGCATTCTTTACAATGGGAAATACGTTGCATAAAGCAGCTGTTAAAGCCTTGTGTTCTCCTCCATTATTCTAAATGCAGCGTATCCAAATAAAACAGTAAAAAAGAGAGGCTAAAGTATATTATCTATCTTAAGGTTTGTGAAGGAATCGTGTGAACTAACCTGTTCACTGTAATGTCGGACCACAGTCCACATCAGCTTCTCTCTCCTATAGAACTGGTAGCTCATCTCAAAGTAGGCAAGCCTGGAAGGAGACAGAGAAGGGGAGAGAGAGTTACTAACCAAAGACGTGATCGTCACTAGCCTGGTCCCAGATCTGTTTGTGCTGTCGATCTACGGTCTCTGTCCCAGTCTGATCCACTCACTTGAAGATGAGGTCGTCTACGTCGGTGAGTGTAGCTCCAAGACTCTTCAACAGAAGATTGACTGACTGGATGGCCACCATCTCCTGCTGATCATCACCGCTGGAGCCCAGAGACAGACTCAGGTGTAGCTACAACAGAGGAATAGCATAGACCAGGTTTACTCCACTACTGATGGAGAAGGACCAGTACTCCACTACTGATGGAGAAGGACCAGTACTCCACTACTGTTAGAGAAGGACCAGTACTCCACTACTGTTAGAGAAGGACCAGTACTCCACTACTGTTAGAGAAGGACCAGTACTCCACTACTGTTAGAGAAGGACCAGTACTCCACTACTGTTAGAGAAGGACCAGTACTCCACTACTGTTAGAGAAGGACCAGTACTCCACTACTGTCAGAGAAAGACCAGTACTCCACTACTGATAGACAAGTTCCTTTACACTTGCCGCCTCCATTGTTTGCGGTAATGCTGCAATCAGTTGGTCATAATTTTGGATAGAGCAGACATTTCCATATATTTTTGTTAGCTGCATATGTGGCATTCTTACTAATCTGCTCCCGTTTGGATTGAAGTATAATTTTTGTATGACTGAAGCCTTTAGTGAAGAGGTCTAATCCAGTGCTTTAATGTTTATTCATCTCTGCCCTCCGAATTCAAATTCCTTATAAAAAAATATGCCCGTTTAATTTAGTCTGGCATGCAGTTCCAAATAAAGTGGAATATTTTTTTGGTCATATAATAAATAAATAAAAAACACAAGTGGTTAGGTGGAGGCGGGGCCATAATAAAGTGGTTAGGTGGAGGCGGGGCCATAATAAAGTGGTTAGGTGGAAGGCCAAGGGCCAATAATACAGTGGGGTTAGGGTGGAGGCTGGGGCCATAATAAAACGTGGGTGAGGTGAGAGGCAGGGCGCCATAAGAACGTGGTATAGGTGGAGGCGGGGCCATAATAAAGTGGTTAGGTGGAGGCGGGGCCATAATAAAGTGGTTAGGTGGAGGCAGGGCCATAATAAAGTGGTTAGGTGGAGGCGGGGCCATAATAAAGGGGTTAGGTGGAGGCAGTGGCCATAATAAGTGGTTAGGTGTAGGCAGGGGCCCATAATAAAGGGTTAGTGGAGGCAGGGCCATAATAAAGTGGTTAGGTGGAGGCAGGGCCATAATAAGTGGTTAGGTGGAGGCGGGGCCATAATAAAGTGGTTAGGTGGAGGCAGGGCCATAATAAAGTGGTTAGGTGGAGGCGGGGCCATAATAAAGTGGTTAGGTGGAGGCAGGGCCATAATAAAGTGGTTAGGTGGAGGCAGGGCCAAAAACGTGGTTAGGTGGAGGCAGGGCCATAATAAAGTGGTTAGGTGGAGGCAGGGTCCATAATAAAGTGGTTAGGTGGAGGCAGGGGCCATAATAAAGTGGTTAGGTGGAGGCAGGGCCATAATAAAGTGGTTAGGTGGAGGCAGGGCCATAATAAAGTGGTTAGGTGGAGGCAGGGCCATAATAAAGTGGTTAGGTGGAGGCAGGGCCATAATAAAGTGGTTAGGTGGAGGCAGGGCCATAATAAGTGGTTAGGTTGGAGGCAGGGCCCATAATAAAGTGGTTAGGTGGAGGCAGGGCCATAATAAAGTGGTTAGGTGGAGGCAGGGCCATAATAAAGTGGTTAGGTGGAGGCAGGGCCATAATAAAGTGGTTAGGTGGAGGCAGGGCCATAATAAAGTGGTTAGGTGGAGGCAGGGCCATAATAAAGTGGTTAGGTGGAGGCAAGGGCCATAATAAGTGGTGTAGGGTGGAGCGGGGCCATAATAAAGTGGTTAGGTGGAGGCAGGGCCTTTAGGGTGGAGACAGGGCCATAATAAAGTGGTTAGGGTGGAAACAGGGCCATAATAAAGTGGTTAGGTGGAGGCAGGGCCATAATAAAGTGTTTAGGTGGAGGCAGGGCCATAATAAAGTGGTTAGGTGGAGGCAGGGCCATAATAAAGTGGTTAGGTGGAGGCAGGGCCATAATAAAGTGGTTAGGTGGAGCGGGGCCATAATAAAGTGTTAGGTGGAGGCGGGGCCAAATAAAGTGGTTAGGTGGAGGCGGGGCCATAATAAGTGGTTAGGTGGAGGCGGGGCCATAATAAAGTGGTTAGGTGGAGGCGGGGCCATAATAAAGTGGTTAGGTGGAGGCGGGGCCATAATAAAGTGGTTAGGTGGAGGCAGGGCCATAATAAAGTGGTTAGGTGGAGGCGGGGCCATAATAAAGTGGTTAGGTGGAGGCAGGGCCATAATAAAGTGGTTAGGTGGAGGCGGGCCATAATAAAGTGGTTAGGTGGAGGCAGGGCCATAATAAAGTGGTTAGGTGGAGGCAGGGCCATAATAAAGTGGTTAGGTGGAGGCGGGGCCATAATAAAGTGGTTAGGTGGAGGCGGGGCCATAAATACTGTAGGTAAACTGGGACACGACTAAAGAGTTAATCCACCCCTCTTGTTGACGGAGATACACTTTTGCCATTTTAAAGCGAATTTCCTGCAATTGTACACATTTTGCCATGTCTTATGTGTGTTCATATGATACCTGAGTAGTTGATCACCTGGACATTTTGACAGGTTATAGAGCTCTGTAAGTGAATGACATAACAAGAGGAAAACTACAAAATTTCGAAATTGCACCTTGTGCATTTTACTATTACAACAGCAATAAGTCTATTTTTTAAGTCGGGACCCGCAGTCTGTCTGTTGAGTATGGCTGACATAGAGGAATATAACATTATTTAATATTGCTGTCGTCTCCTGATGCCCAGACTCAGTCTTTGTTAAGAATCTGGCGAGCATTTTACATTTCAAACAAAGGCCCCAACAGGACAGGAAATAAATAAGTTATTTCTGTCTTGGCCACATCTAGGCCAGAGAATGAGGATGGGATGAGAGAGAAAATAGGGAGAGAGAATGAGGAAGTAGGGAGAGAGAGAGGGAGGAGGGAGAGAGAGAGAGCCTCCTACTTTGATGGGGGAGATGTGGAAGTGTTCAAGGAAGCTGAGGCCTGAGTTGTCTGTCATGGACGCCTCCATCAGTTCAGCCTGTAACATCTCCAAGTCCTTCTCTATCAGCTTGGTCTGGAGAGGAGAGAGAGACAGAGAGAAAGAGAGAGAGACAGAGACAGAGACAGAGACAGAGACAGAGACAGAGAGAGAGAGAGAAGAGAGAGAGAGAGAAGAGAGAGGAGAGAGAAAGAGAGAGAGAGAGAGAGAGAGAGAGAAGAGAGAGAGAGAGAGCTGAGAGCGAGAGAGAGATTCGATCGAGCGGAGAGAGCATGATATCTACCGTTCTTCTCCGCGCGAGAGCCATTCTCTCTCTCATCTCTCGCTCCCTCGCGCTCCGCTGCACCTTCCTCGCTTGTCTCTACGTCGCTACCTATCTCCTCAGTAGGCTCCTCTGACTCGACATGATGGCATTTTCGCGAGCGGCTCGGGCATGGCTGATGTATACTCGTGCGCGCTCTCTCGTCTACTCGTCGATCGGCAGCTGTCTCAGTCCGTGACTCTTCTCTACATGATGGGGATAACTTCGTCGCATATCGTAAGTGTCTGGGATTGAAGTGGTAAATAAGTCGTCGACAGAAGTAGCATACCTATATATTGTCAATGCCATTAAGAAATAATTTGCATGGGTGAGGACGAGTGACAAATAGGAAGACAAAGATTAACCCATAGTGGTGATCATACATAAAAAACGTACTGAATCAGATAATAGCTAGTTGACTATAGTAATAGAGAGAAGATAGAGAGAGATCGATAGATACTATACGAGAGAAGATGAGATTAGACCAAGAGAGAGACTAGAGAGAGAGATTTAGATCCAGGTCATAAACACCACACACATGCACGTGTTCAACTAATCAAATCTTACGTGAGGTACTAAAGTCCAACGTGACTTCTCACTTAATAGATGTGTTAGTAAAATGATCAGAGAGACATAAGGGTTGTTTTTGCCCAGCTAGCCTCCATCCAGGTAACGTCAGACTAATGCCATTGGGCAACAGCAGCAATACGTTTAACACGCAACACCTACTTGTCTCCTCTGTTCAATTCAAGAAGATGTATTTATTTTGT